CCCCTGGAGGTGGGGGGAAGTGGGTGAACAGCTGTGTTGGCTGCTAGCCAAGTGAAACCACCACAATCCCTGAGGTAAAGGGGTTATTAATCACTGAGTGCATCACCAGAAGAATGTAAAAGGACAAAAATTCGTTATGTCAGCATGTCATGACACTGGAATAAAAGTGGACTCCTTATACTTTTCAAATAAATATTTTCACGTCTTTTTCATTTCCTGTTCATATTATTTTGGTGCACTGTGATTTAAATACATAAATTTGCAAGAGAAAATCTGTCACCAGAAGTCCAGACACTGTGTTACCTTTCCTGACACTGGTAACAACATTGAGCAATAAGGGTTGCTACCATTAAAATACAGACATATTGTAAAAGCCAGTGGCAAAATGTTCTAAACTGGATTACCTTACTAGCAACATTAGTAAAGTGTTTCTTGTGTTTTGCAAGAGATTTCTATGAGGTACTTACCGGAAGACTCAAAAATTCATTAAAGTAGTCCACAAGCATATCATCTGTGGCTAAGCATTCTTCCTACAGAGAGACAAAACCACAAAGCAAGGCTTGTACTAATCTGTGCTAACATGATTTGAATACGTTATTGCCTCACATAATGACTTTTTCATGAGATATGACACACAAACTTTTGCAAAATGTTATTTCCCACTTTTAAGAATATAATCATTGCATCATTGTTATATTCTAGCCATTGCACACCACTGAGATCCTTAGCAATTTAAAAAACACTCATGAAGGTGAATCCTTTGCCAAGAAATTTACAGATAAAGCCTTCATAAACCAAAGGGCATCTAAATGCTGGAAAACTGAATGTTTACTTTTGAAAAAATGTGCATAAGCCAACAGTCTAGAAATTCCCCACTTACACTTTTCTCTCTCCCACCTGGAAAGGGTTGGGGGTGGAAAGATGAAAGTTCACCAGAGCCTGCTTCTGCTCCCACACTGCTGCTTAGGGATGTTTGGAGGCATGTTGGGGAATAAAAGGGAGTTCATCAATCTATAATTTGGCTCACCAAGCAAGCAGTATATGCCATACTTGGAATCACACATATGGAAGGCTTCCTGCTGCCCTTATTGGAAGACTACATCTGCAGGTATGTTTGTACCCTTTCTGACCTCTGCATATAAAATACTGCTAACAAGACTCAAAAACTGTAGAACAGATTTTTTAATTATTATTATTATTTGCTATTGAAAAATCAATAAATATGGATCCCAGTCTTACTCCTATGGTACGCGATACCACCACACCCCCATTTCAGTTCAACCAAAGGTAAAAGTAGACCACTATTCCACTGGTCTTCAGAAATCTGGCTTCAGTATAATGAAGACTTCTGAACAGTTTTTAATAGTTTCGGTTTCTTGGATATTCTGTTATTTCTGCCTTGCAACACAAGGAGAACACACCTAAATGAAATGTATTTTTTGATATTAGCAAAAGTCTTGTGACACAAATTTTTTTCTCTTTCTTAAGTTCATAGCAGTGAAATGCGCTAGTGAGGAATAGCATTAAAGAGAAGTTATGCACAGTGTATGTGGTATCACTTGTAGGCAGGCAGTATCTTGATCCAAATTCCACAGTGTCTAACCTAAATAGAGACAGCTTGCACTCAAGTAAGGACAAAATCTTGAACTAATGTAGAATCACAGAATCTCCTGGTTGGAAAAGACCTCTGGGATCAAGTCCAACCGTACCAGTCCACTACTAAACCATATCTCCGAGCTCCCCATCTAGCCATCTTTTAAACACCTCCAGGGATTCTGACTCAACCACTTCCCTAGGCAGCCCGTTCCAGTACCTGATAACCCTTTCTGTGAAGAAGTACTTCCTGACATCCAATCTGTACCTCCCTTGGTACAACTTAAGGCCATTGCCTCTTGTTCTATCACTAGTTACCTGGGAGAAAAGACACACACCTGCCTCCCTACAGCCTCCTTTCAGGTAGTTGTAGACAGCAATTAGGTCTCCTCTCAGCCTCCTCTTCTCCAGGCTAAACAACCCCAGTTCCCTCAGCCACTCCTCATCACGCTTGTTTTCTCACCCCTTCACCAGCTTCATTGCCCTTCTCTGGACATGCTCCAGTGTCTCCATGTCCTTCTTGTAATGAGAGGCCCAAAACTGGACATAGTATTCAAGGTGTGACTTCACCAATGCTGAGTACAGGGGAAGGATGACTTCCCTGGTCCTGCTGGCCACACTGTTTTTGATACAGGCCAGGATGTTATTGGCCTTTTTGGCCACCTGAGCACACTGCTGGCTCATGTTCAGCCGCCTGTCAACCAACACCCCCAGGTCCTTTTCCGCCAGGCAGCTTTCCAGCCACTCCTCCCCAAGCCTGTAGCATTGCATGGGGTACTTTAATACTTGTACTTTAATATGAACTCAGGAAGGCCCCTATGTGCTGCATGACAAGTCAGAACCAGACCTGACAGTGTTTGTCCAGCCTTAGTCTGCCAGCATTGATTCCTTAGCACTTGTGGTTGCTGCTGTGACCAATATAGGACAGGCAAGTCAGCTCATGCTCATTCCTGGAAAACTCTTGAAAGCAAGGCTTTCTGGGCTACAGAGAGTGTGCTTTATTTGGATCATAGGCCTATGGTCCAAAGCAGTTGCAGTACCATGGACCCAGAAATGTTAGGACACTGGTTAAATAGAAGAATTTAGCAAAGTATCTAACCCAAAGCATTTTGAAGTCAATAGAAAATCTGCTAGGCAATCAGTCACATCTAGAAATCTCAATCCAGCAAGCGTTAACACAATTAACCAAAAAAAAAAAAATCATTAGAAAAAGCTTCAGTCTGCCTCATGCTTGGTTTGAGCAATGCATAATTAGATTTGACACTGATAAGGATGAATCTGAAGATGGCTAGATGTGATAATACCCCATGTGAATATTTTATTGTTTCAAAGGACTTACTCAAAACAATTAATTTATTACTGCTGAAGTATAAGCTCTTTAAGAATATGCAGGTAACGTGTTTTTCATTTGCCAAGGATATAATTCTCTGTAGTCCCATATAATGGCAAGAAATGTTAACACAGTGGTTGATTAATCACTAAAAGATTTATGATGCTATTGATGCAAGCTTTACTACTTACTGATCTTACTGCATCTATACACAATATACTTTCCTCTGGCATTTTTTGTGGACAGTCTTATTTTTGTTTGAAAGCATAGCTGCACTTTTGTATTTGCACATTATAGGTTATGGAATTGCATATGCAACACTATAGCTTAGACTTTTGTGTCAGGAAGCATTTTGCTTCATCCCATGCCATCTTTCCTGCAGTATGGTCCAAATTATGACTAGAAAAAGCTGCCTTACAATTGCAACTGGAGGATAAAGTGTGCTAAAAATTGTTCCAAAACTGCAGTTTTGCCTTCATGCAATTTGCTTACAAGTAGGAAAATCCTAGGCCTAATTTCTGACACTCTTTTAACATTGAAAGGAAAGTCAAGTTTCCAAAAAATTTTTTTTTCACTTTTTTTTGCTCTACAGTTGCATGACAAAGTGAATGATCAAGCTTTATAAAGCATACTTACAAACACTTCTTCTGTTATACATGGAGGCTCTGAAACACAAAAATGAAATATCACATGTTATCCAAGCAATACAATCAAGTTTGTTCAACTATGAGTACTGAACAGAAACAAAAAGCAGTGAGGCATGACAATCTTCCTGCATATTCTGAAATAAAATAACTCAGCCTGAGGTAACAAAATAAACTCTAAGAACATGCAGTAATTTTGACCCGTGCTTTAAAATCTTCAGTATCACAAGAATGATTTAGATATAATGAAAGTATTATTTAACTAGATTATTTATCATACATATCAATTAACTTTTTGTCAGCTTTCCTCTGCTAAATTGATTACTAGAAGCTTGCTGGTTTTAATGAAAATATAGATTTGTATGAGACTCTGGGAGCCTTGAACAGCAGATATTACTAATCATATGATAAAATTAAAAAAAAAAAAAAAGCAATTGTGGGTGTTCCGAGACAGCCAAATCTCACTCGTTCTAGGAGAACATTCAAATTTTTGTGATGCCATTTGAAAGTAGTACAGTTCTCTCTTCAGATTAATGAATTTTGCTGGGCAAGTTTCAACCTAGCAGTTCAAAATCTCCCTCCTTTGAATCAACACGTCTGTACCTGAAACAATCACCCTTGGGTCAGAGTCCCTTGTCTAACACAGAGTCAGTCCATCATCACCCGGCGTGCAGAGCACTACGTACCAGTGGTAAGCCTCTTCGACTGCATCCTGGATCCACATACATCAGGGCTGGCACCCACATCTGCAAGCTTATGGCCTCCTTTCCAAAGGTGAAATCCTTGACTGCAGACCAGAAACAGAAGTTGCAGAGCCCATGGGCCTGGCTGGGGACTGCTGGCCCGCAGCAGGGCAGGCTGGCTCTGCTGTAGGCCCCACAGCAGAGGTTGCCAGGTTGCTATGGCGCTGCAAACAACGTGCGAGGCGAGCCCAGCGCTAAGCAAACGCTCCTGCTACGCTGACGCAAAGCCGATCCGGTCTCCCTGAGACAGACTCGGCTATCAGGCACCGATGATATGGTTCCAAAAGACATGCCTGTGAACTAGGAATTTCACAGAATCATAGAATGGTTTGGGTTGGAAGGAACCTTAAAATCACCCAGTTCCAACCCCCTGCCATCAGCAGGGACACCTTCCAGTAGACCAGGTTGCTCAAAGCCTCCTCCAACCTGGCCTTCAACACTTCCAGGGAGGGGGCATCCACAGCTTCTCTGATGATATTTGCAGCAAGAAATTAAATTAAATGCTCCTTTCTCAGCTGGCCTAGGCAGTTCTTAGTCCAAAATTACATTCTGCCTTCTCCTATGTTCGCAAAACCCTCCAGGCATGTGAGATTTTCCCTTAAAATAATAATCTCAAAACATACAATTAATTAAAAATGGATTTACACTACATATCAAATAATTCTGCATCTGTAAGTGGACTATGAGGCTTGATCACAAGTAACAAAGTCAGTCCTATGATAGAGAACTTCTACTGCAGCCAAGTAAGAAATGGCAAGGAGCTTCATATTGCTGAGACTGAGATGAAACCTGGGCTGTTTCTTAACAGGTACATTGTGATGTACCAGAAACAGAACCTGCAGCCTTGTTAATGGCCTTACTCCCTTTTCCTGCTGCCAGAAATCCAAAGGCAACAGCATTTTCCCTTAGTTAGGGAGTTTATAAATAGCCTATGTGGAAGGAGAAAAGACATTAAGAGGCATAGAAGAGAATCTACTCCCAGAATGCTCTGCTCAGGAAGTGCCCAGAATCATAGTGGCTGGAAAAGACCTTTAAGATCATCAAATCCAACCATTAACCTATCACTACCAATCCCATCTCTAAACCATGTCCCTAATCACCTCATCAACCCGTCTTTTAAACACCACCAGCGATGGTGACCCCACCACTTCCCTGGGCAGCCTGTTCCAATGTTTGACTCCCATTCCCAGGAAACTCTATCACTTGTGCTGCCTTTCACAGAACAGTATAGTCTCTCTAGTCATGCTCTTCAGCTGTGAAAATAGTTTCATTTTAATTCATATATTACTCTGGTGGAACTGTGATCAAGTAAAAACAGAACAAATGCACATGCTCAGGGACTACTGGTTAAAGTCCAGGAATTGATGACTGAAAAATGAACAAGCAGCAAATCAAATATCAGAGAGGCAGGGAAAATGGCTTCATGTCATAGAAACACATAGTATTTTGTTCCCTCTACTGCAAATGTGCATTCCCACTCCTGGGGAATGCACATTTGCAGTAGAGGGTGCAAAATACTATGTGTCTGCCCAAATAACACAATCACTGCTTTAATTACTAAGTGTCAGAATTATGCCTCTTCTGATTATCTTGGTGGAATGTTTTTAGCTGTCTAATTAGCTTTTTAGGGTGGATTGTTTTGTGGGTTTTTATAACTTAAGATAAGAACAGTATTTCCAAAGACCTAAATGATAAACTGAATAATATCATGGCCAAGATACACATTTCATATATATTCATATATATATATATATGAAGAGCATGTTCAGCAGAAGCAAAAAATAAAATATGAAGATTCAAACTTAAGGACAAGGGACAAACTTATGGACAATTTAAATAGCATAATTAGTATTTTGATGAAGCATTAACGACCCTTAAGTTCTCTGTATGCAGATTCTACTCAATAAGAGACAACAAACAGTAGGTTAAAACTGAATGGCATACATTTAAATACATGATTTCTTAGTGACATGTCAGAACACGTTCTATTGTGAACATGAAATATTGTACTCAATGTATATATAAGAGAAATATGCACGACAAGATAGCCCATAAAAGGTAAGATGAAACCCTTCCAACAGGCAGAAGAATTGCAGTGCATGGTATATGAGATTGCATTGTCTCATAACCAAACAATATGATTTCAAATGCTAAAGCTAATGTCCATTCCCCTATTTTGTATGTGTGCATGTTTCAGTCCTGATTTTATACTGCCAGTTAAATGCCCACCAGCTAATGAAGCTGAGATATAAAGATTAAGCTAACTTTCCTCCTTTTTGACATTTTTCTCTTTTCATGCTCTTCTCTTATTTTGATTTTGATGATTATTTATCTAAGTAGAACTGTAGACCCACAGAAGGTTTCATAAATATAGTCAAAGCCATGATCTATCCCAAAAAGCATCTGATCTTGTAGAAAAGATGAATGGCTAGACAGGATAAAGAGTAGGTTCTAAAAAAGGTGGTATCAGTAAAATTCTAGACAAGAGAAAGTAAAAAGATTTTAAGTAGGTTTCAAATTATTAGCATTTTGAGAAAATGGTAATCTAGCAGAAGGCCCAGTACAGGAAGAGATCTGCACTGGAAGACAAATGGGAAGAAAAAAATGTATCAGTCCTCTCCATCCCTGCTGGCATCTCCCTCTTCTGCTCATTCCTGAAGAGCCATTTGGAGAGGTGAACTTTCAGTCAAGACTTTAATCTGTCATTGTCCCTTTCCTCCACACTTCTCAGAAATTTGTGCTTTCAAACATTTACCAGGGAAAGTGTTTCAAAGTGTGAGTCAGTCAAATCAGACACAAACTGCTGAGACAACTCTGCACTCGAAGAAACAAGTGTATAAGCTATGCCAGCTTGCTGAGTGAACAAGTCTCCTCCTTGTGACTTGCTCAAGACAAGACATAAATTGGGTGGCTTTATTAAAGCCAAATGTGCACTTGTGTTTTCAGGTGTTAACCTGTGTTTGATTCCTGGCACTGGTTACAGTGAAGTCATGAACATCTCCATAATTAATTACTCATTCAAAAAATAGCAAATGCTATTTAAAAAAATGCATATAGGCATCTAGAGGGATCTCCGAGGGCAGCTATGAACTAATTCCCACTGATTTTCAGTAGCAACTCCCCACCTTAGAAATAGGTGGGCATTTCATCATGCGATATTTTTAAAATCTAAATATCTTTACAGAAATTCAATTTTAGTTAAATGTAACTACTCTTTCTTCTTTGGATGATTGCCACATACATTTTAGCTTTCACATTTGAAAGTGGCAATCTCAAACTGGAAACAGGTGCTAAGAAACCTATTTAAATATTGACCACAGAACTGTCAAAATGGAAGTCAGATCCTGAGAGGAAAGCTCAAGTTGATCATCAGCTAGCTCACCCTTAAATGCCTTAAATTGTTCTGTTGGCAAAATGGCAGAAGCTGCCTGTTGTGGTAGCACAGCCTCTGTGTGTTCAATCTGATAGATCTAGTTTACAGCACAGTTTAATGCAATTCTCTGGCTGTCAGAAAAATCATACAGACTCCCGAGGAAACAGTTATCGAGAAAATGAGCACTCAAGATAATTTGGAAAAGAGGAAAAATAAAACAAACAGTCCTGAAGATTTTTTTTTTTTAAAGTACTTAAAAATAAATTAGGAAGGGCTAAATTGTAAAGGAAAAGATGTAACATAGCTTTGATCTGTCAACATTAGAAACCTTTTAGTAGTGGAGGAGACTGTCAGAAGGAATGCAGATCCGAAGAGCTTGGCCTCTCCAGAAGTCTCCGTTGGGATAGTCACTGGAGAATATGCCTTGACGTGTCTATGTCACCAATGGCCCAAGGATTCCTATAACAATCTTATTCTCCCAGGACAATGTAGAGGTGTTTTAACAAGTTTAAAGGCCTTAAATAAAGTTTAATTTCCCTTTGCTTAGTATGGGACTTGGAAAAGATAAAAGGAATAGAGGCATACCTGGAAAGTGAACTGGAATTTGGAAGGATCAGTAAATTTGTGATATACATTCATACTCACTACCTCATACATGCCAGCTACCTGCTTCATACCTGCAGTCATCTGATACCTTCAGAAATTTTTATTAGTGTCTTAAGAGATAACTGCTAGAGCTTTAGAATAATATCACACTATCTTTTCTAATTTAGGAAAGGAGCATTAAGACTTAATTGAAAAGTCTGTTCAGCAAGATTGTGGTAGATTGAAGAAGTGTATTAAAAATAAACTAATTCTAAGAAGACAAGATGAAAATCAGGAAAGTACTAGACCCACAGCTATTAAACCACATACAAGATAAAAAAAATGGGCATGGTGCATAAGTTTAAGGCAAGGCAGAGGGAGTTTATTTCTAGCAACCCTACTAGAGTTAACATAGCATAGCTTTTGCCTGAAACATAAAATACAGATCAGAAGAAACTATGACAGTTATTTCTCACAGAGATTTCACTATCACGGGATGTATCAGGTATTTTGGCACTATGTACAAAAAATTGCATTCTCACTATCTCTTCTCTGTTTTTCACATGGATAAACTGGAGTCATGTTTTCTAATAAATTTTGGCTGTGCTAATTTAAGCTTTGCAAGTTTACCACCACTTTTTACTTTTATCTGTGCAAGCAAATTTCATGACAATTTTTTTTTTCCTAGGGTTACTTGTAGCTGGGTTTAAGTCAGGTTGGTTCTTTGATCTTGGCTTAACAGGTGTTCTAGCCAACTAAGGTGGCAGTGCAAGAGGCATATGAAGAAGCTTCAGCAGATAGGAATAACATATGCCAGTAATTCCAAACATGTCCTTTAACAAGATCATTTCCCAGCAGTAGGTGGCACATGCCCAAAAAGAAACACTGAATGCATGCATCTCTTTCCAGTCTTGCTGTTACAATCAAACAGATGTCAACAACTGTTCCCAAACCCAGGATTCCCCAGCTAAGAGCTGTTACCCATGTGAGATATTACTGATGCACCAAAC